GGGGGAGGGGGGTAAAAGCTCTGTGCAGCCATGGGGTTGGCAGGAGTGGCCCATCGCTCTGCCCCATGGCAAATGCCCACCCACGGCCCTCGTTTGCGGCTGGGTCGCTGCTGGTGCCAGGGGCAGCCCACTGCCAGCGTCTTCCTGCCCCTGCTGCGTCGTGTCCCCCCCCCCCCCCCACGGCCCTGGTGTGTGTCTCATGAGCCTCTGACCGGGGCAGGCCGCACGGGGCTGTTGCCAGCTCTGGGTCCTGCAGGCCACCGGCCCTGCCCCACACACAGCGAGAGCTTGGGGGGATGTAGCCCACACCAGACTTTGGGGTGGCCGTGTCGATGGCAGAGGCCAGGTGTGGACTGGACTGGAGCCCCCATCCCCTCCCCACACCAGCGCCTCCTTCTGGGAGAGGCTGGTTCCCTCGTTAGCCGTGTCGGGGGGGGGGTGGTAAATAGAGCCGCGGCTGGTGGAGGCAGGCGCTGGGAGGTCACGGCATTGGGGGAGGGGGTCAGCGTCGCTCCGTGACCCTGGAACGTGGTGCTGGGCCACGTTAATCTCTGCTCCGCGGCAGCCTCCCACCGAGACCCGTTAGCCGCAGCGCAGGCACCACGGAGGCAGCCCCTGTAGGTCTGGTCTGGTCTGGTCTGGGGGGGGGGCGGGAGGGGGCATGGAGGGGCTGTGTGTGGATTCGCCAGGGGGAGCCTTACCGAGACCTTGGTCTTCGGCTGTCAGAGCCCCTCACTCCCGACCCGCAGCCCCTCTCCTGAGTTGCTGCTCAGACGGATCATGGTGGTTTTGATGCTGGTTGTGATTCAGTGCCTGGTGTCTGAAGGGGCAGGCAGGTGTCTGAGGGTTGTCCCCGTGTCCCCCCCCAGCTGCTATGGGGGTGGGGGTTCCCAACTCCATGAAGGTGAGGATCAGTGCTGCCTCTAGTGGCAGCTGGGAAAATGGTCCCTGTCAGGCCCCCCCTTCTCCACCCTGCCCTATGCCCAGGCCCTGACAGCTGGGTCCCTGCCCCCCGTCTGAGATCTGTCCGTGCGGAGGTGGTTTGTACAGGCTGGGGGCGGGGGTGTGTGTTGAGCACAGGGATGTGGGTGTGAGTCCCTTCCCTGCAGGTGTGGGGCTGGGCCAGGGGCCCTGGGTGGGGGGTTGCATGGCAGGCTGGAGGCCCTCGGTGAGTCCTGCCTGCCCCCTGACACTTGCTCTCCCCCCAGCCTGCACCAGGAGGGCTACACGGTGCAGGTGAACGTCAACGACTACCTGGACATCTACTGCCCGCACTACAACGACTCGGTGCCCGTGCACAGGATGGAGCAGTACGTGCTGTACATGGTGAACGCCGAGGGCTACCGCACCTGCAACACGAGCCAGGGCTTCAAGCGCTGGGAATGCAACCGGCCCCACGCACCCCACAACCCCATCAAGTTCTCGGAGAAGTTCCAGCGGTACAGCGCCTTCTCGCTGGGCTACGAGTTCCAAGCCGGGCAGGAGTACTACTACATCTGTATGTGGGAGTCTGGGGGGGCAGTGGGGCCAAGGGGGGAGTCTGATGGGGGGGGGTCCTGCACCACCCCAGGAGGCGGTGCAGGGAGCAGCCTGGGGCGTTGCACGGGGAAGGGGGGTTGGTTGGGAAGCCCCATCCCCTGGGCAGAGATGCCCCTTGCTCAGTTCTGCCAGGCTTGTGCACCGAGCCCGGGGCAGCTGCAAGACCGGAGCCGCCTCTGCAAAGCAACGGGTTCTGCATTTTATTCAGCGCTCCCTCCCCAGCCTCAGCCTGCAGCCCCAGGGCACCAGGGGGTGGGCGACGGGGCAGGGCCCTGGGGCGTGGGGGAAGCGAATCTGCAACTGCGGTGTGGCCCCATGATGCCCCAGCAGCCTCCCTAAAGCCAGGCCAGGCTCCCCCTAGGGGCAGCAGCCCCTTGCCCTGGCTGGGGAGGGCCCTGGGGGCAGGGGGGACAGGTGTGATCTCAGGGCTCCCTCATTCTCTTGCAGCAGCCCCGACACACAATCACCGCCGGGCCTGTCTAAAGATGAAGGTGTTCGTGTGCTGCGCCTCCAGTGAGTACAGCCTTGCACATGCGTGTGCAAATGCCTGGGGGAGGTGGGTGCAGGTGAAGGGGCAGCGTGTCCATGTCCAGCGGGGTCTCTTGGGAGGGGGTATCGGGAGTGGGGCAGACCCAGGGACAGTGGCTCCCCTGGCTTTAGTGCAGGGGGCTGGGGGTTGGCCCCTGGGCTGTGACTCTTCTCTCCTGCCTGCAGCCTCGCACTCCGGGGAGAAGTTGGTGCCCACCCTCCCGCAGTTCACCATGGGGCCCGAGGTGAAGATTGAGGACTTGGGTGAGTGCAGGGCACCAGCGCAGCAGTACAGTGTGGGGCTCTGCCCCCCACAGCCAGCACTCCCACCCCACACTCACAGCGCCTCCTGCTGGGAGAGGCCAGGGTCGGACAAGCCGGGAACTCCCCCCCCTCCCCCCGTGCTCCATCTT